AATCAAACCATGACAAAAATTGTTACAAGGTAGTTTATCTTTATGTTCACTTCATCCTATATACATAATTTGTTACAAAAGTAATATCATATGTTATCTGGCTTTATATGAATTTTTTTCTTCTAAATTAGTGCTTTTGGGGTTCATCAAGCAGCAAATGGGAATAGAAAAAAGGTTACATGGCTTCAACCCAATATAAGCGTGGTGTAAATTATAATTATATATTTAATTTTATCATATAAGTATTCACTAATTATGTCATTCATTTGTAGACAAGGAAACAACCTAACTCTAATGATTGTGGATATTATGTGATGAAAAATATGTTGGATATTGTCTCTGCCAATATAACCAAATCTTGGATGAAGATAATAAAAATGACTTTAATTTGTTATTTACTTTACGTTTTGCAACTTAATGTGAATTTTTAAAGAATAACTTTATTGTTACTTACGTGTTGTAGGTATTTGATGACCCAACGAACTTAACAAATGATGATTTGTATGATTTGTGACTCCGTTGGGCAACTTGTTTCTTTGAATTATATAAATGTTAAACTTTTTGTTGTTGTAGTGGTCCATCGTGCAAACATTCTTATAATTTAGTACATTTGTGTATATCCTTTATGCTGACACTTTTGTAAATCAATTATGTGTATACTAGATATTTGGTGCAATGAAATTAGATTTGTAGAAAAATATGAAAATAAAGACCTAAATATGGTCTATGTGATGTTGAAAAACTATGAAAATAGCGACCTAAATGTGGTCTATATGATGTGTACTATGGAAAATAGCGACCTAATTATGGTCTGTGTAATGTTGGAAAAATATGAAAAATTAAGTACCAAAAAAGTTACAACGTTGGTAGATAAATTATATCGTCCAGTTAAATGTGTTCTAAAAGGTTGCGGTAGACGATTATTGAGTTCTTGGGAAATCGTTGGTAATTCATTCCCAGAACAGACCACCTACAAAAAAGTGACACAAATAAATTAGTTACAAAGAAACATTTCATCAAAGTATACACGTTTTAATTTTTTAAAAATAAACTTACTTATTTTTATAGAGGAATGTGAATGGATTTCAATTGATAGGAGCTAGTGTTGACATTCTAGACCAACCTCATGCTTGAAGGAGATAGGCGTAGCCATAAAAAGTACAAGAATTTTTTTTTGAATTTTTACACATTGAACTATACATGTGGGCGAAAACAGCTGAGCCCCAACTATAGGTGCACACTTTATTAATGTTGTGTAACAATGGTAAATACATAATATTTACACTATTTCCAGTACTTTCTGGAAATAAAAAATGTCCAAATACGATCATAATACAACACCGAGTTGTAAGTATCTTGTCATACTCGGTGGATTCCTCGTTTAATATGATACTATTGTAATTTTCTCTTAGGCATTTTAAATTAATACCTTGGCCTCTAGGTCGACCTTCACGTTGTGGCTGAGGTGTTTTGACACAGAGAGGGGTGCCTAGCAAATCTTCTTAAAGTTGGTAATTAAAACCAACTTTTCCGTTGACGACCTTACCGTTGATGCGTAGGTCAAGTAACATGTAGACATCTTGTAGTGTGACAGTGCATTCACCGAAAGGAAGGTGAAATGTGTGGGTCTCTGGTCTCCAATGTTCTAGTAAGGCTAGAATAAATTTGGTGTCTAGTGAGTACGATCAATGCAAAGTTTTTCAGTTAAAGATTCGAGACGATGAAGATGTGCGTAATATGTTTCTCATTCATGAGTATTCTGGTTTCACTGATATTGAGCTATATATTACATTACAACAACAACAACTATCTCAACAACTTGATTATTCTCAGGTTTTTTACGAATTTGATGACGAACAAGATGAAGTCGATGTCGTTGACAAAGAAGAACCTGAAGTCATTGTTGATGAAATGGTAAACAACGAGGAAGACATATTACCATCCAGTCATGTTTATTGCCCACTTCAGCACATGACATGTCTCAACTTAGGTGAAGATGAACCATCAACATATCTTTTTTACAATCCATACTTTCAAACAGAAGGAGTATTAAAAGAGGGAGACAATTTTCATACAAAAGAAGATTGTATTCGAGCTATAAAACAATATCACATGGACTTATCAACAAATTATAGAGTCGATCAAACTAATCTGACTCTGTATAAGATCTATTATTGTAACAAGGTATGCCCATTTCGATTAATAACTTCTTTTCGAAAGAGAAGTGATTCATGGAAGATAGGGTCAATGGATCCAAAGCACATTTTTATAACCACGAATCTAATGCAGGACCATTGCAAGCCAACTCTCATTGATATACAATGAAATTCTGCTAGTCATTTGCGACAACCCTTCTTTGGAGGTGAGTACCATAATCTTGCATATGGTTCAAAGATACAACTATACTCTTTCGTACAGGAAATCATGGATAGCTAGGACTAAGGCGGTTGAAACAGTGTCTTGGTGACATTTCCCGCGTATACGCCAGACGAGGTTTGTGTTAGTGGAAATGACATTTTCCACAGACTCTTCTGGGCGTTTGAACTATATATTAAAGTTTTTGTGTACTATAAACCTATTATTCAAATTGATGACACATGGTTGTACGGAATATATAAGGGCGTGCTACTCATGACCGTGGCACAGGATGGCAACAACAACATTTTTCCAATCACCTTCGTTCTAGTAGAAGGGGAGACTGTTAAGGTTGGAGATTTTTTTCTAAAATATCTCTGCTTATACATTTCTCCCCAACCTAACTTATGTTTGATCTCTGATAAACACCCATCAATCGAGAATGCATACAAGAATCTTGATAACGGTTGGCAGGATCCTCCCTTAAACCATGTGTATTGCATAAGACACATCGCTCAAAATTTAATGCGGGAGATCAAAGACAAAACGCTAAGGAAGAAGGTTTTGAACCCACGATATGCATTAACATTTCAAACACTATCGTGACGAGATCAGACTGACAAATGCATATGCATTAAGATGGATTGATAATATTCAACTAGAGAAATGGACAAGGGCATACGACAATGGCCAGCAGTGGGGCCACATGACAACAAACCTCGTAGAATCAATGAATTATGTATTCAATGGAATCTGAAACCTACCGATAACAGCTTTGGTAAGGGAAACATATTTTAGGCTCGGGGAACTTTTTGATACCAGACGTACAAAGTGGGGTTCTGTCTTATAATCTAGGCAGCTGTACAGTAACAATTCAATAAAATTCATGAAGGACGAAGCTGCCAAAGCCAACACACATGTAGTCATAGTCTTTGACCGTAATAAATGTTAGCTCAGTGTTACAGAGTCAATTGATCACAATGAAGGGAGGCTTAGGGGATGTTACCGAGTGGAACTAGATAGAAGTTGGTGTGATTGTGGAAAGTTTCAGGCATTTTGTATGTCTTACTCCTATGTTATAGCAGCATCTTCGAAGGCTCGCCGGGACCCAACCAACTATCTTTCTATTGTTCACCAAGTCATTAGTCTATGCAATATCTACAACACTAGCTTTCATGTGGTAGCAAAGGAGGACTATTGGCCTCCATACGAAGGCGGAATTGTCTGGCATAATGATTTGATGCGAAGAAAGAAAAAGGTCGCCCTAATAGCACGCGTATTCGAACGGAGATGGATACAACAAACAAAATGGCCAGATTATGTAGTTCGTGCTGGAAGCCGGGACACAATCGCACAAAATGTCTCAAAGTAGGGTTAAGCACAAGATCATAGTTTCAAATGTAACCTTGTCTCTTTATATCAACAAAAATTTTTGTTCCATTGATAGCATACCTAAGCGATTACAATTAACAACAACATAACTTAAATAAACATAATTTAATATCTCAACAACAATAATTAACAATAACATAAACTAATACCAAAATAAAAATCGGAAAATAAGAACAACATACCCAAATAAAACAACTCAATGGATCAACTTGTCTAAGATATTACAACCATCAAGATAATTTTCTTTGGTGTTAACATCATCATAAGGACACCTCATCATTTTCCACTTTTCTCCAAGCACGAGTAACTCCATTTGGGTCTGACTCCTCTGATGATAATGACGACGACGATGAACGTTGATTTAAGAATGCATGCATACTTCTAGATTGAGTTGAAAATATTGGTGATAATTGTTGTGGAGAGTTGAGGATATTGGTGATAATTGTTGTGGAGTAACAAATGAGTGTGCAATCTTATTTATAGAAAAATGAAATAGTGTAGTCGCCATATCATATGGCTTATCTACCCTTTAAAAAAAACCATTTTAGTTAAAACTAAAAAATAAAAAACAAATTAAATATTGCTTAAAAAAGGATTGCACTGAGGCGCCATATTATATGACGCCTCTTCTGGAGAACTAGGGCAAACTAATGCAATCACCATATAAATTGGCGCATGTCTTGTGAAGCTTCAATGGAGGTGCCATATATGGCACCTCAGTTGATTTTTCAATGTTGTCGCCATATCATATGGTGCATGCTTGTTGAAAGAAAGTTATTTCAGATTTTTTAATCTGAATTATGGTATTTTTTATAAAAATATAGGTTATTTCAAAAAAAAAAAAAATCTAAAGGGTAAGGGTGGGCGGGGGAAAGAGAAAAGAGAGGAGAGAGCTCTTAGGGTTTCTCAAATCTATTTGTGTAATCATTTTCCTTGAGGTTGACCCGCGCCAAGTGAGAGAGAATGAGCGAGAGAAAAAGAATGAACCGGTCTAGAATGATTTCATGAAGGAAAAAAAAGAATAAAAAAAAAAAAAGCTGAAACACAGAAAAAGAAATCCACCGAATCTAAAAACTTATATGGACAATATTTATTGACAATATTTGTACAAAAGGATAAGCAATAATTGTAGTGTGCTTCCATTCCAAGCTAATAAGAATCCACTAGCTCATATGCTTACTTATAACACACAAACTCATAGCCACAAGAAGGAAACAAAATACACAAGACCATTTAGTAAGAGAGAGACGAGGATGACGATGAGCAGTAGCACCAAAGTATATGAAATGAATCTGTACGAGACTCCCACTGGCGATGACCAAATTGTATACTCAACTACTCAATCAAGAACTTGCACCCTTCAGGCCACCATAGGAGTCAAAACAGCTTATTTCACACTAAGGGACTACACCCTTACTAACTTAGGAACCGCAGTAGAAATCATGGTTCGCCATGAAGGCTGCATTAAGTCCATTGATTTCGGAATTGAAGGCCATGTTTTAGATACACTAAACCAGACAAACAATCTTCGCATCCTGTACGGAGTTCCAAATAATAGCTTTGGTATACTTGTCGCTAAAAAATACCGTACGAGTAAATGGGGTGAAACTGTGTTGGTGTTTCACATGTTGTTGGTTCCTTCAGAAGTATGTGTAGCTGGGTGGCATATTTGGCATGATGCTCGGAAAGGTCGTTTCATGTGTGAGCCAATAGGTCCTTTACAACGCTCTTCACTTTTAGAGATCATGAGAGAATTTAGCAATACTCGTCATCCTATTTCTTCCGATGGAAACCAAACGTCGATCAATGGCCTTATAAATAATCTCGGCGCAGTAATTGGCGATTTCAATGGTTCTATTATCAACTATATTATTAATATTTTTTTATCCACGTGAAGATTTATTCATTATTGATCACCACCATATATGTATTACTTATATTTTACATCAGTTATAATTAATATTAATCTTAAAGAGCATCTATAACCATCATTTTAGTTATAATTGTTGCGATGCAAATTGCTGTTATTTTCATGTGAATATTGATTAGGAGATGTTTGAATTTTACACTTTAAAATGATCAAAGTTAAGAATTTTTACTACTTATTTTAGAAATTTATAATTTTGATATATATATATATATATATATATATATATATATATATATATATATATATATATATATATATATATATATATATATATATATATATATATATATATATATATATATATATATATATGAAATCAATTTACTCTAAAAAATAAGTTATTTCTCTAAATCGTAGTCTTTAAATAAAATTTAATATAATAGTTAAACTAATCTTTTATTTAATTAATCATTAAATTAAATTTAATTCAAAAACTATGATTTAGAATAACATAAAAAAAATTTGATCTCCACCCCCTATCTATCTATCTATCTATCTATCTATCTATCTATCTATCTATCTATCTATCTATATATATATATATATATATATATATATATATATATATATATATATATATATATATATATATATATATATATATATATATATATATATATATATATATATATATATATATATATATATATATATATATATATATATATAAATCAGTCTTGCACTTCAATCACTAATTTTTAAGTTTGACTATCAGTCTCTTGAATTTGTGACCTTGCAGGATCTATGTTTACAGGGCCGGCATGTCTAGGGCCTCATATATATATATATATATATATATATATATATATATATATATATATATATATATATATATATATATATATATATATATATATATATATATATATATATATATATATATATATATATATATATATATATATATTGTATAATTGGTTGATTTAAAAATTATGATCGTTTTAAATTTTCAGATGCCTTGTATAAGTTAAACATGCTTCAACTGCAAAAAATAAATAGGCTTCCTATTTTAATTTGTTATTGTTTAAACATAATCAATAATTTTTAGACCCTTTTTAGTCACGATTTAATCGTGAAATTTTTTAGATCCTATCGAATAATCCGTCTTGCCCGCTCTTAAAAAGAGTTATATTAAAAGTCATACTTATAAATAAGAAACATTTAAGTTCTCTTAAATAAAAGAATACTTTAATTTAAATTTAAGACTTTTTTAAAGAACTTTGATAATGTTTTAATTATGATTTTTTTAAGCGATTAATAGAGTGTTTAGATGTGTCGATTTTATTCTCAATTAAAAATAAAATATTGAATAAAATTAATTAGAACAATTTAACATTTTATATTTTAAAAAACTTAAAATTAGAATTCATTAATCTAAAATAATAAATTATTTTTTATTATATTAAAATTTTTAATTTAAAATTTAGCCTCAGACTTTTAAATGTGTTGGGTAGGCCATGTATGTTCGAGTCCATTTTTAAACGGATTGAATTTAACTTAAATATTTAAAGAATTTCTTATTGTGTCCCTTATACTCTTAGGCACCATGCATATTGACTAAAATACTCCCTTATTTCAGAATTGTATTTTCAGATGCACCTATTTTTTTGCAGTTTATTTATTTAATTCAGTAAATGCATCTACGAAATTCTTTCGTATTCCTTTCGTATTCCTATTTAAACATAATCAATAATTTTTACACCCTTTTTAGCCACAATTTAGTCGTAAATTTTTTTAAACCCTATCAAATAATCTATTTTGCACATCCTTAAAGAGAGTTATATTAAAAGTCATACTTATAAATAATAAACATTTAAGTTCTCTTAAATAAAATAATACTTTAAATTTAAGATTTTTTTAAAGAACTTTGGTAATATTTTAATTATGATTTTTTTTAAGCGATTAATAGAGTGTTTAGATGTGTCGATTTTTTTATCAATTGAAAATAAAATATCAAAAAAAATTAATTAGAACAATTTAATATTTTTATATTTTAAAAAACTTAAAATTAGAATTCATTAATCTAAAATAAATTTTTTTTTATATTAAAATTTTTAATTAAATTTTTTCCTCAGACCTTTAAATGTGTTGAGTCGGCCATGTATGTTCGAGCCCATTTTTAAACGGATTGAGTCTAACTTTCTTAAATATTTAAAGAATTTCTTATTGCGCCCCTTGATACTCTTAGGCACCATGCACGCTGACTAAAATACCCCCTGATTCTGGAGGTGTATTTCCAGACGCACCTTTTTTCAGTTTTTTTATAAAACTTAATTCTGTAGATGCATCTAAGAAATCTTTTTGTATTCTTATTTACGGAAAAAACCCAGAAACATAATACTAGAAAATCAACATTGCAACGATAAAATTAACATTTATAAAATAAAATCGACGTTATATTGGTGATTTTGGCAAAATTTTAAATACTACATTAATAGCCCGGTGGATGCTTACATATCTCTAAGATGCCATCGACCATTCTTCGGTCGATCGTGTAACGCCCCGATTTCGATTGTCTCTTTTATTGAGTCCCTATTTAATTTAATTGGACGAATATTATTTTTGATATGGAATTTGTGTGAAAATATGTTAAGTTTATATATTATTCTATTTTAACCGATTTTGAGAGTTTTCGGGGAAAATAGTTTGGAGGGTGACATTTCCTATTTAATGATAAGTGGGATATTTTATGGGATATTGAATTAATAGATGTTTTGGAGAAATAATGAGAAGGATATTAAAAGGGAAATAGAAGAGAAAAGAAACATAAGAGAAAAGGAAGGAAAGAAAAGAGGAAGAAGGAAAAGGAGGAGAAAAGAGAAGAAGAAGAAGAAAAGTGTGGAATCATCAAGAACAACTCAAAGCTTCGATTAATCCAAGGTAAGGGTGTGAAATCTTACTATCTAAATCAATATGTATGATTATGTATGTGTATGGTTGATTGAGTTAGGGTTTTGGAGAGTTTTCTATAATTTCCGTTTTAGGTCGAAATTAATTCGATCGGTAGAAATCTAGCTTTGTTTAATGAAAATGAGAATAAGTGGTAGGATTTATGTCGAGAAACATTAGGTTATGATTACTGGAGCAAGTGGGGAATTATCGGGTGAATTTATCGGCTGTTTCGAATTCTGAACAGTGGGGAGAAGTTCTGTTCGCAGACACTCACTAGCAACTCGCTAGGCGAGCAGGTCGCGAGTGTTCGCTAGCATCTCGCTAGGCGAGTGCGTAGCGAACGGTCCCAGACTTGGGACAGAATGGTATTGTGGTCTTTCGCTGGTAGCGAAGGGAGTAGCGAAGAGCTAGCAGGGGGTTCGCTGTGGCGAACGAGGTAGCGAGCAATGTTTGGAGGTTCTGTTTGCACTCGCTAGCAGCTCGCTAGGCGAGGAGGTAGCGAACGATCGCCAGTAGCTCGCTAGGCGAGCGTGTAGCGAATGTAGCAGAATGAGTTTCTCTCCTGTTGTGTACTGTTGTGGCTTGGGGTCCTGATTGTGATCGACCTTCCCTTGATTTAGAAGCGGGTATGCTGGCCTGTGAGGTGCTGTGGGTAGCCGAATGGCGTGAATCCTAGTTTATGGTTTGTGAAGCGTGAGTGTGACCGATCGGCAATTTTATGCAATCGCTAGATCGAATAGGATTGCATGACGAGATGATTGAGTTCGTTACCGTCGGCATGATAATATGAATGCATGAGGACATAATAGGATTATGTGGGCATTGAGTAGTGAGAGTAGTGTCGGAGTGGATTACACTAGGGTAGAACGATGCGATATCGCTCCTAGTGGGAACTCATTGGGAGAGAATGACTAGATGTCGTTCCTAATGAGATGTATGTGTTGAGTGCACTAGGGTAGAATGATATAACATCATTCCTAGTGGCTGTGTATTGATATTGATCCCTTGGAGGATTTGCATAACCTCGCGTAATGCGACAGTTATTTGATCCCTTGGAGGATTTGCAGAACCTCGCGTAATGCGACGGTTATTTGATCCCTTGGAGGATTTGCAAAACCTCGCGTAATGTGACGGTTATTTGATCCCTTGGAGGATTTGCAGAACCTCGCATAATGCGACGGTTATTTGATCCCTTGGAGGATTTGCAGAACCTCGCGTAATGCGATGGTTATTTGATCCCTTGGAGGATTTGCAGAACCTCGCGTAATGTGATGGTTATTTGATCCCTTGGAGGATTTGCAGAACCTCGCGTAATGCGATGGTTATTTGATCCCTTGGAGGATTTGTAGAACCTCGCTTGATGCGACGGTTATTTGATCCCGTGGAGGATTTGATAAGTGATAGGTTCATAGGAGAAACTGGCGGATGAATGAGTCGGTCCCTATGAGTTGTACTATCATCTTCAGATGATGAACGGAGAATAATTTCTAAGAATATAATAATATATATGTATGTATGGTCTGATAGATGGGAGGATGACGTTGAAGTAAGCGCGGAGGAGTTGTACTCACTAGGGTAGGATCGCAATGTGTCGTTCCTAGTGAAGAGGTTACTGGGGTAGAATGACTGAGATGTTGTTCCCGGTAGGGCATGAACGATATGCCCATAACCCGGAAAGAGGATTGAGGATAGTAGATGAGTATTATACGAATCGCACGGCATGGTTGCGATTGTTATATGCAAATATGCATGCAGGCAGGAATTGATGTGATGAGGATATCGAATAAATAAATGTGTAGGATATTGACTAACGGATGGATGATTTAGTGCGAGAATTTATTATTACGCACTGTAGTGAGAAACTGTGGAATATAGACATTCGGTATTATGAATTTTTAGATATATGTATATATAATTTATGCCTCGAAATATTATGGTAATGTTTCTCACCCTTCTGTTGTTTTATAATGCCCTACGAGGCATTGCAGATTACGATGTGCTGGAGGTTTCCTTTGGAGTGTTAGCTCATTTCCCTAGAGTCGGTCGCTCTGATATGTAACTTTGGGTAGATAG